TGGCGGAGGCGCCGGGGGGACAGGGCCGCCCGCCGCGCTGCGCAGCGCCGCCAGCGCCGCCCGGCTCTCCCCGCGGGGGCTCCCGGACCTGCCCTGGGCTCCAGTAAGTGCGCGCGGGGGCGGCGGCGGCGCTGAGACCGGGGCGGGGCCGCCCGGTTCGCTTCGCTTCGCTTCGGTTCGGTTCGGGCCAGCCCGGCTCCGCGGGGGAAGTTGCTCTTTACTGTTTTCCCTGCTCGTTGTGCGGGGCGCCCTGCCTGCCCGCACCGCCCTGCCGTTGTGCGGCCCCCTCACCGTCCCTGCGGGCCTCCTGCCTCCTCTCCACCCCCCCTCTTTTTCCCTTTTTAATTTTTTTTTTTTTTTTTACTTTTTTATTTCTCGTTTTCTCCCCAAATCGCTGCCGGAGTGCGAGGCTTTCCAGGGCGAGGTGGGGGGAGGCTGCGGTGCTGTTAGGGCGGTGAGCGCTCAGGGCTCTGTCACCTCCCCAGAGGTAAGAGGATGATCTCATCACCCGTGATTTCCTTTTTCATTTATTTTTTATTTAATTTTTCCCCCCTCTCTTCTCAACTTCAAGCACGATGGGGAGTGTGATGTTATTTGTGCAGAGTCCCCCCGAGCTGCTGCCGCTGGGGGGGATATAAATGGATAATCTGACCCCCCCCCCCCCCCCCCCCCCCCCCCCCCCGGGAACACGAAGCTGCAACCAATTTTGTCATATTTACCCCTTTTGTCGTTTTTCAGCACACGTGAAATTCCAAATATGCGTTTGATTGCTAGCTTGCCAGGCTGACTGCAGCACTCCGTGTTCCTCGGCTCCCACAGGTGCAATTAATGCATAACCTGGACAAAAGACATTATATTACTGCATGAAATCCCTGGCTGGTGTAAAGACGATGGCGTTTGCTCTTCGGCTGCTGTTTCTGAGGCCTCTGTTCCTTAAAATTTTGCACCGCGTTTTCACCAGACTAGTGAAATCAGTAGAGCAGAACAGCTGATCTCCAAGGGAAAGAAGTTTAGTTATTAATTTGTTAGGCTGAGCATTATGGAGCTAAGGCTTATCTGAGAGTAAAGTTGAGGGAGTCATTTTAGCTTCTTAAGGTCTGGATTTCCTCACGCCTCTCCTCCTTACAGAGGTGCAGAACCTGGAAAGCGGTTGCGAGGTTCCTCTGCGTGGAGGATCCAGGGCTGCATCTGCTTTTTTGTTGCACGCGAGCGTCCTGGGGGATGGAGCCGTGTTTGCTCACACAGTTTGGGCATCTGCAGCGTCAGGGATAACTTGGAGCTCTCGAATCCCGCAGTGTTGTTGATGTTTTCTGTTTTGTTTTGCTGCTTTATCCACTTCCTTTTTTAGACTATGTCCACTATGCTGTGAAGCAACACAAACCCAATCTTTACTGAGAGGGAGCCGTGCCAGGCAACTTCAGCTGGTTGCTGTATGATCAGCTACATTTGCTGCCTGTTCTAATGAGCTTACTGGTGTGCACTTGAAAGGCTGCTCATTTTCTTTCGTTTTTTTCTTCATTATTTCTTTTATACCTGAGTTTTGAAAATTAGTATGGAAATAACAGAAGTCCCACATCACTTTATTTCAAAACTGAGTTGCAGGTACAACTTTTAAATTAATCCCATAGTACTTGAGCATGTCTTGCTATAAATCCTGTGARTTTATAGGAAGAGTTTTTCCTTTAGATGGCATCACTTGTTTTCATGAAGCTCCATGCTGGGTAAGTTCACAAAGCCCTCCCTGCCATTGAGTAAGTCTTAACAGYGAGTTTTGAACAGTGGATTTATCTTATAAGTCCCTGTGGTTTACAGCTTTTCACCAAGCCTTGTTTCCTACTTCTCTATTTTTTTTCTTCTTAATAGATTTGAACAGAAGTATGTAAAATTCTATCAAGTCTATAAAATAAGGCAGTATAGGAGTCAATTTTTTCCCTGCTTATCATATCAGTAAGTGCTAACAGCATAAAACATTCAGTGGGTAAAAAGCAGGTCAAAATCTCTTTTGATAGATGCCTCTTTTAGCTTGCTTGGTATTTTGGAGGGCAGCCTTATAATTCAGGAGTAAATTAGCATTGGTGCTGCAGAAAGTGGTAACTCAATAGATGGTTCTGTTCTTTGTGTTACATAACTGGGTTAATACCCAGCATGGTATCAGCAAGTGTTGGACTGCTGGAGACAGCTTTGCAKAAAATGTTAAAACTTTTTGTGAATCTCTTGTGTTCTGCTTGCAGTTACTACTCTTTTACTTGGTTAGGATAGGAATGTTAATTCCCAATCAAAAATAATTAAAAATAATTTTAAAATATGCTTTGTCTTTACAATTTATTATATTGTATATTGTGTTTAAATGTTTCAGATAGTTTCGTATTGATTAAAACATGGGGAAAAGTCTGTAGGTGGCTTCATTTTGTTCAGATTTTTTTTTCCTTCTAAAAATAARGGAAATTTTAATTGAGACAAAAACAATAATTGGGGAAAGAATTAGTGTATGAAGGAAGTCAGAAATACCTTTATGCTTTTTCCTCTTCTTTCTCTCTCCTTGTTCTTACTTGTTCCTTTAGGAAAAGGAACTGAGGAAGCATAGGCATAAAGAGCCTTGGGAATAGGGAGAGAGCGCATATTAGGAAGATACCTGAATGAAAGAAAAAGGTTTATTTTCTTTCCTAGTGCTGGCGACTTATTCCAAAAGGCAGGATGGCTAATGAGCAGGGTAATAAAGGCTGACTGTATGTCACAATGTTAGCATAAGAGAAGTGCAAAAGTCAGTTTTTATTGACTGTAACAAATTGGAACTTTAGGACATTACTGAAATGTGAACAGATAAGCTCTTATAATGCAGACTCCAGTGGAGTGTTGGACATAGCCCAAACTGCCAGGCCTGTGAAATTSTTAATCTATTTTAGTAGTTTCAGTATTCCATCAGTGTCCTTACTGCTAAATGCCCGTGGTTATTAGAACTGACAGCTATCATAGTAAATGTAGTGCCTTCAAAATGCAGCTAAGCAGAAGCATGGGAGTGAGTGCACGGTAAGGCTGAGAGGTGTCCTGCCGTGGGCAGGGCTGTGCTTTCCCACRGCCACCTGTATTGGTAGCGTTTGACTTGAGGACAGCTTGTGAAGCCAGAGAATGTGTCTTTTCTTGCAAAATGTTTCCTTTTTGATCATTAGGAACGATATAAAATGTTCTTGSAAAAAACCCGCTGGTGGTTGGAGCTAGGTAAATCTCCATGCAGTTGTATAATTGCATGAGAATAGAGGGTAATGACTTATGGATCTTTAGTGCCAGAGTAACTGGCTTTAGCATAAGAAGTATTTTACAAATGGAAGAAGTAGGTGTCACTGGGAAAGAAATTATGCAAGAAAAATGACAGTCAGTCATACTGCTCTCTTWTTTGTTTAAATACAGCATGACATGTCTGAAAGTGTGTCTCTGCTTTATAAAATTGTATTAGGAACATGAATATTAATTCAGGTGAATTGATCAGATATGAAGATTTAAAAGCCCTATATTTCTATCTACTGGAGAGCAGTAGATAGCTGATAGTAGAAAGCAGAGAAACAAGCGTTAATAATTTAAGTTTTTCAGTGGTAAATGACTGAAAGAAATTGCGATAAGAGATATGGATAAGCTATTTCAAAGGATTTTTGACTCTTGATCTCTGAATTTTTAAAAAACTTCAGAGAGTTTTAAAAATCTGATTAATTTTTTATAAGTCAAGGGTAGTCTTGCTACATGCTGTAGCATTATTTTGTGAAATGCTTGGATGCATATTTATGTATTGGCAATTTTATAAATAACACCTTCCTGTTAGTGCTAGGTAAAGCAACCGGGTTTTGTTACTGTAAAGGAAGGAAGCTCCATTCATTGTCTCAGCACGAAGCAGCTTGTTCTCCCTCCAGGGACTCGCAGAAGCATCTAGAATGTGTAGGTGTTTCTTTAATCTGGGAGAAGGAACATATTAAACTTTCTGGTGCAGAACTATATGAGGCGCGTACTTTTCACAGATGTTATCTGCCCAGGGAGGGARTTGCAGGTCTGGTAGACATTTGTGGCATTCAACAGTTTAAACAGCTTTCAGGTTTGAACATATGCCTTTGCCTTGAAAATCTGAATAGTTTCAGGTATTTTATGTAGAAGAAAGGTAGTTCAGTGGTGAGGTTGCTGCACTGGGACTTGGGAAACAGGTTCAGCTCTCTGCCTTGCCAAAAGCTGCCTGTGTGGCCTAGGACAAGCTGCTGCTCTGTCCCTCGGTTCTCAAACTGCGGAACAGGAGCAGCTCTCTGTATCACAGAGCTGCTGCAAGGATAAGCCAGAGATTTTGATCTGTTCAGATATGGTAGTAACGTGTGGCGTATAGTTACCCTGTGCTGGGAGGGAGGCGGGGGGAAGTGACTGCACAAGCTGAGAGCTAAAGTAAACTCCATGCCAAGGGAATAAAGTTAGAAAAAGCAAGTGAGAGTTTTGACTGAAAAGGAATCACTTGAGAGAAAGAGAGAAACAAGTAGTTTAAAATTTTAAGGAGTACTGCACTGTTTACTTTTTTAAAAATAGTATTAAGATGTTTTAAAAAGCTTGACTCAGGCATTTTTTTCCTTTGTATTAAGATCCTGTCGCACAAGGAACAATAGCAAAGCTGTGTTTGTTCCTGTTCTCCTCTTTGTTTTCAGTTTGAGCTAAGCATTGCATCTGAATCTTTCAGCTGTCAGTTTTGTTTGTGGCTTCTGTTGGAAGAATTGTCAGAATCTCTTAAACTTGATTAGAATTATTGACTTTTCATTTGCAAAAGTATGAGGAAAAATCATCTTCCCCCCACCCACTGAAAGGAAAAAAGAGGACGAATTTGAAGATACTGCTTAAAAGTGATTGCAGTAACTTTGTACAACTATTAAGTATGTGGGATTAAGAATCTTTCTGTTGTGCATGTAAGATAGTGTTGCCATTGCTGTAATCTGAAAGTATAGACTAGAAAGCAATTATCGGGCTTTACAAATGCAGGTTTTCATTTCTGGGTGTCTGTGCCCTCGGGAAGAGTCTGTCTATACTGAACAAGATAGAAATGATAAACTTACTGGTTTAATATGTATAATATATATAAATACAATT